GCTGTCACGTGACGCTCATAAGGGAGACCGAGACAAGACGGCAAGTCCGGCTGCAAGAGAGTTGGTCCAAAAAAAAGAATACTAGTACTTCTGCAATTTGGCAGCATTTTGGCTTCAGGCGCACATTTGTTTATGTTTTACAGAAACGAAATTTAAAAGCACATGGCTCATTTGCATAAACTATAAAGCGCTGATAAATACAGCTCTTTCCTTGTGCGCTGATGCGGTTCAGCTTCTGTCGGACTAAAGGACACGACTCAGTGGAATATGAGTGTTCTTTGCAGGACAGAGGATGTGCTGCTGATGGTGAGTCTGTTCTGTGCGTGTATCATGTTAGAGATGGTTCATGCATTATAAATCTGCAGGTCATACTCATAGATCGTATGGCAGTGCAGCTTCATAGGTTACCAAAATTTTACTAAAACATTTTGTTAATACTGTAATACCATATACCCAGGTAAAATCCAATCCTATTAGCCAGGACTATTTTCAAGACTAAATAATTACTGCCCAATCTGTATCAGGACTAAACCAGGCCTTAAAGGTAACACAAAATTGACTCTTGTGATCTTAAGCCACGTTAGAATCAAAACAGACCTGGAGTTGTGTTGTTTCATTCATACATGTTGGAGTAACCCTTTATTATTAGTCTGTCTACATCTCCAAAGTTCAAAATGTTCTGTTCCACCTTGTGATGTCATGTAGTGGTAGTTAGCAGCTACTTTTTGCATTTTAGTTCAGTAGAGATTGGCATTTCCTGTGCTGAAATGTTCCAAATGATTCTAGTGAAGGTGTATGAAGTTTAAAAACACAGTGGAGCACTTCCTGTACAGTAAAACAGACATCAGCCTAAAAATGCAAGGTTTGTGCATTAATAAAAAAAATCATCGTGAATGCAACAAAACACAACTACAGGTCTGTTTGTGATGAGGAAACAACATTATAATATAGAAAATAGCATAAATTGCCCTTAGACCAGGACAAAACCGTGATTAAATTGGGCCTAACCAAGACTTAACCAGAACTAAACCAGGACTACACAGTCACGGCCTGAACCAGGACTTAATCAGGTCAAAACTAGTATTAAACCACTGCGTTCGATGCATTTCATTTCTCATCAAATGCGCAAATGTCTCGGGGATGCGCCGTCATGTAGCAAACACAGAGCGATTCTCATTTAATCCTCATTTAAAAGTCATTACCTTTAATCACGAGACGAATCAAACGAGCAACTATTGTGAAGCTCATAATTAAAATGCCTAATTTAATCCAAACGTGCCCACGCGCCTCGTCACACAAATCATTTCGTTATAATTACTATCCATCGCTGGTGGCGTGTTCCGTGATTGAAAAGCTAAACATGTTTTTATTCTTAACTAAATCCGAAACCAGAAAATGCGCGAGGCAAATAATGGGAGTAAATGCAAGTCCATCAAATGTGTGTACAGTAGAGAAGAGGACTGAATCAGGACTAAAACAGACCTAAACCAGGACTAAACCAGACCTAAATCAAGACTAACCCAGGAATAAATCAAGACTAAACTAGTACTGATCCAGGACTGAACCAGGACTGAACCAGGGCTAAACCAGGATTAAACCAAGACTAAATCAGGACTAAACCAGGAATAAAGTAGGACTAAAGCAGGACTGAAACAGGACTAAACCAGGACTAAATGAGGACTGAACCAGGACTAAACTAGGACTAAACCAGAATAAACCAAGACTAAATCAGGACTAAACCAGGAATAAAGTAGGACTAAAACAGGACTGAACCAAGACTAAACAGGCATAAATTAGGAATAAACCAGGATTAAACTGGGAATAAACAGGCCAGGACTAAACCAGAACTAAACCAAAACTAAACTAGGACTAACCCAGGGTAAACGAGGGCTAAACCAGGACTGAACCAGGACTGAAGCAGGACTAAACCAGGACTTAACCCAGGACTGCAAAAGCAAGTCTAAGATAGGACTAAAACACTAGAGCCACTAGGCCTGTCATGATTGCTATGGATTCATCGTTCATTATATGAAAGCTGAAACTATATATTCTGGGCTTTAATATTTACCGTGTGTACATTTTCTTAGTAAAAGTGGGAGATTTGGTGTATTTTTGTTGTAATACAATAAGGTTTGAGCTGTAGAGGGATGAAAAAATAACTGTGGCTAATTATTGTGTCACTCTGCTATTTACTTGTTGCAGCTCAGACCATTTAATTCTTCTGTTTATTTGAAAATGGTTTACTGGGTTTATCCTGCCTTGGGTCCGTGGCATAAAGTACTTTGAATATTATCGTTTATCACAGTATTTATCTGTAAAGATAAATTGTGGTTCAAAGTGTGTTACTGTGACAGATCTAACATACACGAGTGTATTAAACCATGAACTAAACCAGGATGAAACCATGTCTACACAAGGACTAAACCAGGTCTAAACCAGGACTAAACAAGAACTAAACCAGGACTAAACCATGTCTACACAAGGACTAAACCAGGTCTAAACCAGGACTAAACAAGAACTAAACCAGGACTAAACCATGTCTACACAAGGACTAAACCAGGTCTAAACCAGGACTAAACAAGAACTAAACCAGGACTAAACCATGTCTACACAAGGACTAAACCAGGTCTAAACCAGGACTAATCCAGGACTAATTCATGTCTACACAAGGACTAAACCAGGTCTAAACCAGGACTAAACCAGGACTAAATCATGTCTACACAAGGATTAAACCAGGTCTAAACCAGGATTAAACAAGAACTAAACCAGGACTAAACCATGTCTACACAAGGACTAAACCAGGTCTAAACCAGGTCTAAACCAGGACTAATCCAGGACTAATTCATGTATACACAAGGATTAAACCTGGACTAAACCAGGTATACACAAGGACTAAATCAGGTCTAAACCAGGACTAAACCAGGATTAAACAAGGACTAATTCATGTCTACACAAGGACTATACCAGGTCTAAACCAGGACTAAACAATGTCTACACAAGGACTAAACCTGGACTACATAAAGTCTTAACTAAATCTAAACCAATTCATGATGACTAAACAAGGTCTAAAAATAGAATAGGCTAATAAGAAATAACAGAAGTAACAATTTATTTCTTCCGCAACAGACTAGCCTCTACATAGGTCTAAACCAGAACTAAACCAGGTCTAAACTAAGACTGGATGAGGTCTACATTAAACCAGGGATAAACCAGGTTTATATTAAGTATACATAGATTTAAACCCAGACTAAACTCAGGTACCTGATCCAACCCAGGACTCGGCAAGATCTACACATGGACTAAACCAGGTATGATCCTGGGTTATACCAGGTCTAAACCAGAACTAAACCAGGTCTAAACCAGAACTTAACCAGGTCTAAACTCGTAATAGACCCAGGTCTAAACCAGAACTAAACCAGGTCTAAACTCGTAATAAACCAGGTCTTAACAAGGACTAAACAAAATCTACGCAGGGACTAAACCAGGATTTAACAAGAACTAAACAAGATCTAAGCATGGACTAAACCAGGATTTAACATGGACTAAACAAGATCTACGCATGGACTAAACCAGGTCTGATCCAGGATTATACCAGGTCTAAACTCATAATAGACCCAGGTCTAAACCAGAACTAAACCAGGTCTAAACTCGTAATAAACCAGGCTTTAACAAGGACTAAACAAGGTCTACATATGGACCAAACCAGGTCTGATCCAGGATTATACCAGGTCTAAACCAGAACTAAACCAGGTTTTAACAAGGACTAAACAATATCTACGCATGGACTCGCCAGGACTAACCAGGTCTAAACTCGTAATAAACCAGGTTTTAAGAAGGAATTATCAAGATCTATGCATGAAATAAACCAGGTCTGATCCAGGATTATACCAGGTCGAAACTCATAATAGACCCAGGTCTAAACCAGAACTAAACCAGGTCTAAACTTGTAATAAACCAGGATTTAGCGAGGACTAAACAAGATCTAAGCATGGATTAAACCTGGTTTGATCCAAGATTATACCAGGTCTAAACCAGAACTAAACCAGGTCTAAACTCATAATAAACCAGGCTTTAACAAGGACTAAACAGGGTCTACATATGGACCAAACCAGGTCTGATCCAGGATTATACCAGGTCTAAACCAGAACTAAACCAGGTCTTAACAAGGACTAAACAAGATCTACGCATGGACTAAACCAGGTCTGAAGGCAGGATTATATCAGGTCTTAACGAGGACTAAACCAGGTCTAAACTCGTAATAGACCCAGGTCTAAACCAGAACTAAACCAGGTTTTAATAAGGACTAAACAAGATCTACACATGGACTAAACCAGGTCTTAACAAGGACTAAACAAGATCTACGTATGGACTAAACCAGGTCTGAAGGCAGGATTATACCAGGTCTTAACGAGGACTAAACCAGGTCTAAACTCGTAATAGACCCAGGTCTAAACCAGAACTAAACCAGGTTTTAATAAGGACTAAACAAGATCTACGTATGGACTAAACCAGGTCTGAAGGCAGGATTATACCAGGTCTTAACAAGGACTAAACCAGGTCTAAACTCGTAATAAATCAGGTATAAACTCGGCCCAAACGAGGTGTAAACAAGAACTAAACCAGGTCTAAACAAACAAGGGCCAAACCATGCCTGCGTATTTCAGTATTCAGCGCGGCCCTGCATGCTTCTTATCCCGTAAAAAAGCGTGCATCCTGCCTCCCTCCTCCCTCCTCCCTGTTTCTCCCTCTCTCCTCTGCTATGGCTGTCAGCGAACCGCACCGTGTTCCATGTGATCGCAGAGGAAAGCGGAAAAAAAAAATAATATATGCAACAATACAGCCCGCGTGCTTCTGCGCCCGACCACGCGTAAACACTTTCCAACACTAGCTAGCGCGCAACCAAAAAGCGCGTTTTGCATCACCAGGAATTAGTTTTCAGTAAAAGATTTGTTGATTTGTTAAAAAAAAAAAAAAAAAAAAAAAAGCGCATGATGTCTCACCTGCTGCCAGTTCTCCTCCAGGGATGGCATCGCGGAGAAGTACCCAGTATCATGCACCAGTTGTAGTTCTTGGAAAATACTGTAATTCGCTAGTACATCCATTTTGACGCGTAAAGTTAACCCAGGCGCAATCCCCAAAAATGTAAATAAAACTCCTCTTCTCAAAGCTCCAAAAATTGTTCCTTTTAGTTTGGAAAAATTGCAAAAAACGGTGCCAAGCGTGCGCGCAAGAGTGAGTTGGTTTCGTTGTTGTTTTGCCGCTACGCTCCACCACGCCTCCTGTCCTTCGTTCTACTATTTCCGTATTTTACCGAGGCTGGAGAGAGGTCTGCCGCTCGCGTTTTCGCCTCTCCACCGCATCAGCAGCAAGAAGCGACGCGCCGTACCTCGCTGCAAAACAGGCGACCGGCGCGAGAAGGGGCGGGGCCGGGGGCGGGGCCGCTTGTCAATCACTTCCACGCGTGGCCAAATACGGTAAATAGGGTTGATGATGTCAGCGAGTGCCAATTAAGGCGGTGCGTAAAGCAAAAGGAGGGGCGGGGCTGCGGGGAAAGCGCGCGTCGGATTGGTCGGGAGGCGGTGTCAGTCTCCGAAGTGGGCGAAACCGAGCCGTGAGTTATTTTTAGAGGCCTATATAAAAGCAAGAAGCGACTGCGAGTTGTCATTTCGGGCTGAACGTGAGAGCGGAGCGGACGCGTAAAAACGAAAGCGTGAAAATGCTATATTGAGAAACATGTTAAACCTTAGAAAGAGGAACACGGAAGAGGAACAGATATCGCAATAGAGAGAAACAGAGGAAGACGAGCTAGAGAGGGGGGGATTGTGTGAGGTTGCGAAGCGGTTGAAGGAGGAGAGAGTGTGGTTTCCATGCGGTTTCCATGTGGCGGTGTCTGGAGACTGGTCCATCCGCCCACCTGTTCATAACAAGCAGAGCAGAAGAGAAAACACGAGCCTGGTTTACGGCTGCTTTTGACTTATTCTAATTCTGTCCCTGCAAAAAGACAAACAAAGACATTTCTGAATAATTAGACGTTTGTACAAAATTAGGATCGTTGCCATAGGATTCACAAACGAACCCTTCCAGAATCAAGGGTAATTTTAGTACATTTGTCCTCGCCTAGATTTTTTTTTTTCTTAATTTTGCTATTAAAACTCCTCCTTTTACCCCCTAATGAAGTGTTACACGTCCTTATTTTCCGTACAACCTGTTATTTCACAATCTGCTGCTGTAGTTGTGTCATATGGCTGTAAGAAAAACTACAGGACCAGAAATACAAATGAAAAAAAAAAGGAAAATTTAATTCACACTATTTCATACAAAACACGCAGCGAACATGTATAAACAACTTTTTGGACATAAAAAATGCTTAATTTAGGGCCTTAGCTACAAAATTGCAAAATATCAAGTCTCAAAGTAAACTACAAATATCCTTATTGCCACAAAACAAAACAAAAAAAGCGGAAACAGCTCGTGTCAGGTCCAGAGCACAGAGCCACATCACTTCCTGCATTTCCATGGTGTTTATTATTTGGATTTGGACATTTTGATGGAAATAAACCTTTCAAATAAAAATAGCAAGGGATGCGAAATTACACAGACCAAGATGCGTAATTTGCCATTTATTTGAGAAATAACTGGCTTTTTCAATTGTCACAAACACAGACGCTCAAAGCAGTCGACCAACTTGACTCACTACACTCTTTGGCAAAGTTTGGGTCTGTCAAAATGAATGGAGTGCATGCGTTTGGCAGAAAACAAAGTTCCTATTGGACATTTGTTTTCCCTACGTCATCACGCAGTGTGTAGCCTGATTCATCACTTCGTAGAAACTGTCTGACCTCGCAGTGTTAGGACTCATTCGCTCGACAGTAGACGGGTACTTATTTTCACGTATGTAATGCACCGTTAAGGGGCTAGCTGGTATATTAAGCTTTTCCCAAATCCCATAGGAAGGAGGACAATAACGTCTTTTCCCCTTGATAAAATTCAGCAAACATTCTCTTTGTTCCAGCTTTAAATCCTCAATCTCGGGAATCGTTGCCAACACAACTCCAAGTGCTCATATCGACCAACTGATATATCGGTCGTGTCCTAATAAAAACGTGACCAGTTAAGGTTAAGGTACATTTACTGTCCCCACACTGACAGATTTGAGCTCAGCTTGGTCAGGACTGGAGGATTGTTTGGGTTGATGTTTCACTTCGTAGAAACCGTCTGACCTCGCAGCGTTAGGATTCCTTTGCTTGACCGTAGGCGGGTACTTTTTAATTTAACCAGTCGCTGATATTTGGTCGTGACGTATGTAATGCGCCGCTAACAGGACTAACTGGTATATTGAGCTTTTCCCAAATCCTGTAGGAAGAAGGGCAATAACGTTCTTCCTCTTGATAAAATTCCGGCTTTAAATCCTCGATCTCTGGAATCGTTAACACAGAATGTATGGCTTTTTGCTGATTGGCTGGTGCCCAGACTTGCACTTCCAGGGTTTTTGCAAACCGTCTAGTGCACACACGTCATTTGGCCCGTGAGATCATATCATAGTGCTGCCCACCGGCTATAGATACAGACATTATTTATTTAAAATGTTGTTATTATTTTATATGATACTTGTTCTGGATCTGTTCTCAATTTTTAAGCAAAACTATTATTAAATATTTATTTTAATAAGAAAAGGTTTACCATTACATATCTCTAAAGAAGAGAAAACATGCCGATGCTGTTGACATTTTTCAATAAATATTTAGTTTGGCCCACAACTTAGTCCCAGTTTTTAATTTTGGCCTTTGTGAATTTGAGTTTGACACCCCTGGTCTAGTGTATTCCGATTCCTGACCTAGTCGCTGGAGAGAAATGAAATCGAGCAGAGGCACTAGGTGGTGCCAGCCTGGCTAAGAATCCAGAGTGCCTGAAGAAAACTCACCCAGACACAGGGAGAACATGCAAACTCCACACAGAAACGTCTTTGTGTCATCCAGGAATCCATCCTGGAACCTTCTTTCATGTTTCCCTTCTACAAATTCATGCACTTTTCATCTTACTCTGGCAAGTTTCAGGTCAAATGTGAAGGACGGATAACTTTTCTTCATGGACATGTTATTGGTTTGTCTGGAATGTTTCGCAGTATGGCTTTAAACCTTTCTATCTTCATGGAGCCAGCTGGAGGACGTGTCTGGGGTGAAGGAAGTCTGAGAGTCTCTGCTTAGACTGCTGCACCCACGACCCAGCCCCGGATAAGCGGAAGAAAATGGATGGATGGCTCTTCATGGGGACCAAACCGGACCACGTTGCAGGTCAGATCTGTGGAGAGGCGACCCCGCTCACAGTCAAAATTCTGGTTTTACTTGGTATTTTTTGAGCTACGAACACCTGTAATTGAATAAATGTAAGGCGGACCTGTTTAATGTCCATGAAGACGATCACGTGGTGGACTCTTTACAAAAAAGTTCCATAATGCACCTTTAAAATCCCTGCTCCATCTCTTTATATATTGTGTCACAGCCCTCCCCCCCTCCTTTCTCTCTGTCTCTCTGTCTCCCTTTCCTCTTTTCTCTAGTGAACCATAAAAGCTTTTAAAGGATCAGATATCACAAATCAGATCTGAGGCTCTCACTGGCGTTCTATATAACACACATAATAACATGAGCAGCAGAACTAAAGACTCGACAGACAAACTTACACCAAATCACCTTCTCTCTCGGCGTCTCTGTGGTTTTGGGCGGTTTTGGTCAATACCTAAAAAAGTTGTTATAGATTTTTTTGTAAATGGTAAATTTTTATGCAGCGCTTTTCCACTTTCGAGGCTCTCAAAGCGATTTACGACAACAAGGAACCACTCACCCGTTTACACGCACGAGGACGCTTCGGGTGAGGTGAGGTTGAGTGTCTTGCCCAAGGACACAACAGCAGCATTTATCTGTGGGGTCGTCGGGGTTCTCTGTCTTCGCTCGCAAGTCCGAGATGAGTCCAAGTTCAGTTCTTGTTCAGTCCTGGTTCATTTCTGGTTTAGTCCTGTTTTAGTTCTGATTTAGTCCTGTTTTAATCCTGGTTCAGTCCTGGTTCAGTTCTGGTTTAGTCCTGGTTTAGACCTGGTGCAGTCCTGGTTCAGACCTGGTTTAGTCCTGTTTTAGTCTTGTTTTAGTCATGGTTTAGACTTGGTTCAATCCTGGTTCAGTCCTGGTTCAATTCTGGTTTAGTTCTGGTTTAGTTCTGGTTTAGTCTTGGTGTAGTCCTTGTTTAGTCATGGTTTGGACTTGGTTCAATCCTGGTTTAGTCCTGGTTCAGTCCTAGTTCAGTTCTTGTTCAGTCCTGGGTCAGTTCTGGTTTAGTCCTGGTTTAGACCTGGTTTAGACCTGATTTAGTCCTGGTTTAATCCTGGTTCAGTCCTGGTTTAGTCCTGGTTTAGACCTGGTTCAGTCCTGGTTTAGACCTGGTTCAGTCCTGGTTTAGACCTGGTTCAGTCCTGGTTTAGTCCTAGTTTAGACCTGGTTTAGTCCTGGTTTAGACCTGGTTTAATCCTGGTTTAGACTTGGTTCAGGCCTGGTTTAGTCCTGATTTAGACCTGGTTTAGTCTTGGTTTAGTCCTGGTTTAGACCTGGTTTATTCCTGGTTCAGTCCTGGTTAGTCCTGGTTTAGACCTGGTTTAGTCCTGGTTAGTCCTGGTTCAGTCCTGGTTTCAGTCCTGGTTTAGACCTGGTTCAGTCCTGGTTTAGTCCTGGTTTAGTCCTGGTTCAGTCCTGGTTCAGTCCTGGTTTAGACCTGGTTCAGTCCTGGTTCAGTCCTGGTTTAGACCTGGTTCAGTCCTGGTTTAGTCCTAGTTTAGACCTGGTTTAGTCCTGGTTCAGGCCTGGTTTAGTCCTGATTTAGACCTGGTTCAGTCCTGGTTTAGTCCTGATTTAGTCCTGGTTTAGACCTGGTTCAGTGCTGGTTTAGTCCTGGTTCATGTAAACAAACAACAAATCTATTCTATATGACACCTGTGTGTATTCTGGCATGTCATGTTGAGTGTAGTTGTTTTGGGGTGGAGGTGGATGGAGGTGGATGGAGGGAATATCGAGCGAATATCGATGACATCAGCTGCAGTAGCAACAGAAAAGGTTTCAACTATATTCTCATTCTTATAGGATTAGTGTAGAAAGCCTCAATCGCTCGTTTTTTCCATCATTAAATCATGTTGTATTGTGCACTGGAAATAAATTAAGGAACAAAAATTGAAAAAAAAAAGAGGAAAAAAGAAAAGAATAAACAATGGCCTGGCCCCTTATTCCAGTGTACGGTCCCAGCCACACAGTAAAACAGATGAGCAGAGATAAACATGTGGAGAGAGTGTGGTACACATCAGTTTAGTTCAAG